TGAAACACCCTGTAGAGCTTACGCTATATTGGCTGCTTGACTATCGAACATGATAATGACATCTCGTCTCTCAAAGATTTTCTCTAGTAGTAGTAGTAGTATTGTAGGGAGGCTGTAGCCAGGCAAGTAAGCCCCCATGGGCCCTTTTTGCCAACCCCTGCTCTCCACATATCTACACATCCCTCTTTTAGTTGTCCTTTTCGAACCTTCCCGTCCTTCTGATGAAGGTCAGGATGTCCGTCCACTCTAATTCGACCAAATCTTCCTGTTGTATGAAAAGACAAGAAAGAAACCATTGGTGTTCTCAGTGTTGTGGAAAACTGCTTGGAAAGATAGTGCACAAATTGCTGATTTGGATATCTAATTAAATCATCATAGAGAGAGAGAACTAAATAATAAGGGCGGTTATGTGTTTGAAACCCTTTTCAAATATATTACTGGAACGCCAATGAGGGTCTTTAAAAAATGAATTCGATTATGTGTATTACTTTCGATGGAAAGTTTGTGAAGGCAATTCCCAATAAACAATGATCAACGGTCGCTATAGCAAAAGTAAAAGGATATACCTTTGTATGTACTATGATTGTGACGTATTCCATAGTAATAAGCGCAAATTTCAATACACAGTAAAAAAAATAGAGTGAAATTCAACACTATACCTGTTCCCAGGAAGACCACTAAGCTTTAGAGTGAATGATTTAACTCTATAGTTTAGTATATTATAGTGTGATTTTTTCAATTCAATTAGTGTAAATTTTCAATGCAAGCACATTGAAACTTACTCTATTTATTTCTCTAAATATATTGAATAAACACAAAAATAGAGTTGAAAGAAACAATTACGAGAGTGAATATTACACTCAAGACCCAAGCTAGTGTCAATATCATCACTCTAGAGTGAAATTCAATAACCGAATATTACATAGTCACAAAAGTTTAGAGTTGTAATACAATAGTAGAGAGTAGATTCCACACTATGAACAGTGTCGGATCCACCGGAAATTGATTGAATTATTTACTCTACTTGGATGTCAAATTGCTCCTTCATTGTTCAAATTAACACTTCTATTTGTTCAGGTGCTAATAAGGAGTTATCATTTATTCATCATTTTAGACTGATATAGTACACTAGTTGAGTAAACTAGTCACTGCTTCTTGTTGAGATTTCACTCGAGATTTCATCTAAGTTAAATTAACCATTCTTCCACATGTCACAGTATTTAAAGGCCCCCGACAGACGTTCAGCGGCGAAGTCTCCGCAGCGCCACCTTTATGCAGTGGCGAGAATTGACGGATGAGAAGTAGTGTGACTTTATAATATTTTAATCGCTTGATATTTGAAAAATGCCTCGAGTTTCACTAGACTAATTAGTTAACCTATATCTGTTTCATAAATCGTTCGAAATAATAATTCGAAACGGAAAAGACGGAAAATAACTGAGATAGGTATACGGAAATACGTTCATAACTCAATGTTGAAAAAAATTTCTCACTACGCGGGTATAGTAAAAAAGCTACTTGAAGCTAATATCATGATCATTATATCTTCGACACTATAATCTGTATTACTTATTTCAGTATCTAGTAGATTGAACGATCTGAAACTGTATAGATTGATATTTCATCGTATATAGATTGAATTGAACAATGATAGAGTGTCAATTCAATCGACAACAGAGGAATATTCAATTTCACTAGTGTCAGTAAACACTAGTATGAATTCAATTTCAATTGTTTGTGAATTGAGTTATCTGAATTGATATTTTATTGAAATTTCAGTAATATAGAGTGAATTCAATACGAGAATAGTGAAAATTCAATCTAGAATTAGTTTCAAAGGAGATAATCTGCGAGAAGTGTAGTAATAGAGTTGATTGCAGTATTAGAGTGAGTTTGTCAGAGTATTTCAACTCTAAAAACATACTCTACGGATTTCACTCGAAGCGGTTTTTTACTGTGTAGGTAATTATTAATACTACCATCGTGTTGGAACTATTGAAACCTCACCCTCAACTTCTCAATTCTTCATGAATATATTTTTCGAAACTTAGTACATTCAAGGATATTAAAATTTCATTTTTCCGGTGAATTTCCAATGAATATTAATATATCAACTCGTAGATGATGATTAGTATTTTTTCATGATCGATGATTCCATTGAGGTATTTCAATAAATTGCTATTAAATCTTTCAGCACCACTTTTTTTTACTTTCAATACGCTCGAATAGAGAATAATGCAAATCAATGATTATGTTATGAAATATTTTGTTACGGAAACGATTGTATTTCAAACATCGATTTCACTAGGTGTTATTGAATGTAATGCTTTCAACATTTCAGGAAATATTAAGAAAATGCGAAGGACGAATCACAAGACCTAGAAATTAATACTTGGTATCGATAATTGTTTTTTTTTGTAGAACCCTGATATATATCTATATTAAATAGAATAAAATTTTCGATGAAATTTCCATATATTCGAAATGATTTCATGGTATACAAATATTTTAGATCAAATTACTGAACTAATATAGTTTTGTTTTGATCTGATATCAAAAGTTGTTATAATGACGGTATTTCAGAAAAGTTTCGCTATATAGAAACTATTCCAAATCACGGAGCTATAATCTATTGCAAAAATCTGTGTTCCGAGCACTTTTATTACTCATTTATTGAATGAACAACTAAGTTTAATGGGAGATTTAATCTTATAAATGCCGATTTGAAGAACGTTTGGATATATAGATCAGATCTTTATATCACTTTTTCCTGAAGTTGTAATTTATTGAGATCAACAAGAACAAGTAATCTAAATAACGATAAAAAGAAATAGGTTCGCATCAAGATTTTATCTTTGTCATATTAATCAGTGACCTGATACAGTGAGTATTGGCTGTTTTGATATTAATTTGTTCACCATTATTATTCAACATTAAATGACAGTTAACCACTTGAGTGCAAGTGTCTGCACTTCGATGGTAACGACTAGGGCCATTCATGTTTTTTACACGTCATAACATTGTATTACGATTTAGGAGTAAGTCCATTCTAAGATTTTTCTATAAGATTTTGGTAAAAAAGTCCACAAATTACTAAATAATTTTCATGAATCATCAGAAGACTTCTGATTATACCAGGTGTTTTTGGAATAAGTGCACATATTCCGCATATCAATGTGATGCAGTCTAACTAATATTCCTAGTAAATCAGATTTTTCCAGATTCTTCTAATTGACGAAACATCTGGAAAATTAAACGAAAAATGGAAGAAAAACTTTGTATGCCACTTCATCAAGGCTAATTAATTAAGCCGATCTCACTGTGCCCAACATAAGCTTGTCAGGAGTAACCTTTGAAGACATCCATTTCGATGCTTGGTATTACTATCAGCAATAACTTTTCTTGGGAAAATCACGTGAGATCAATTGCTAAGAGTGCATCCCAAAAACTTGTTTTTCTGTTTCAAGTCAGGAGCTATTTCACTTCCAGTCAGCTGCTCATGATCTATAAGGCACAGATCCGACCTGTCCTGGAATACTGTTCCCTTATTTGGAGTGCAGCACTCAAACATACCCTGAAACTGTTGGATTCTGTCCAAAAAAGGGCAATTCGTCTCGTCGCCTCGCTCACAAACTCATTCACTTCTCTGGAACAACGTAGAAAAGTTGGCGATCTGGCTCTATTTCATAAAAATTTTCATGGACGATGCTCTTCTGAAATATCAACAATTGTTCCTCCCTTGTCATTCCCCGCGAGATTAACCCGTCGAGTTGAGGCTTCGCACCCCTTCGTGGTCACTTTGGAGACTGCAGAACATCTCTTTCCAGAAACTCGTTTATCCAACGAACAGCGAGGCTCTGGAACACATTGCCAAGGGAGGTGTGCCTCCAGAAATTCAAGAAGAACACCAATTCCTACCTTATTTCCCTTGGTTCTCACGATGTTCTCTGAACATAACAGGATATCCCTTTGCGTGGGAACCAGAACATAGAAAAAAAATTGAGCTCCGCGTAATTGTATCTTCCTCACGGAAATTTCAAATGAGGTGACGTCAGAATTTCCGCAGAGTATAAATTCAGGTGGAAAGAGGGGTCTCACCCGTTGAACACCAAGAATTTGTCAAAAGCATATACCACTACTGTCAAATTTCTGACCAATTGACAATTAAAATAAATTGTTTCACCTCGTAGATATTTCAACTAGAAAATGAAGCAAAAAACAAAAAGGAAGGGGGGAAGAAAAGATTGAAAAAACTTCCTCCAAGGAATTCCTTCAGGGATACCCAGCGCCAAAATGGGCTTATATCACAAAAAAAAAATTATTTCATAATTCTTTATAGAACTCACCCAAACTAGCTCACCACCGCAAACCGTTGCTTGCTGTGAGCTCCCTACGTTTTATAAATTTTTTTTCGATTTTTTCGGACCTCTGAAAACGAGGCGATGTTGTGACGTCAAAACCCTAATACTGAAACAAGACTATTCCAGACAGAGATGAATGATACATGATTTCTGACAGAGTGAATTAGCGCGAGATCACAGTTGAAAGAATTAATATATCAGTTGCCTCAGTCTCCGTCGGGCGTTTGGTATTTTCTTTTAAATATGGCGAGATGAGGTTTTTACGTCATAAGAGGGTCCGTTTTCAGAAGGTACTATTATTTATGTCCAAAAATAAAACATTCCTGTTAATTTTTCGATCGAATTATGTCGTCAATCATTATTTATGTATAAAAGGATCATTATAAACATGGTTCGAGTTAAAAGTTCTACTAAGGTGTACATGCCCATTCCTGAATGAGGACATGACAGACACTATACAATCTCAATGAATAGGATGAGCACAAAAAAAAGAAGATTTCGAAAAAAATGTATACCTACTATTTTACCCTGTAAACTCAAAATACTATAGTACACGTTGACCTTTCTTTGGGTTTGAAATATTTGTGTTCATTACAATGCAACCAATGTATATATTCTAACTCCATTTTTTTTTTTCAGTGATGCCGCAACACCTGCACTTCCATGGCTGCAGTGGTTAGCCATGCAATGCGACGGTTTCCGACTTCACCATCGGACACCCCGTATTCGTCCTGCAGATTTAAAGTTAGTATACAACACGTCACTGCTTTTTTTTGAGATTTGAATTTCAGCAACCAAAAGATCAAGCACGATGTGATCCTAACCTGAAAACATGTGGGCTGATCACCCTGGTGAACCATAATTAAGTATACAAATCTTTTGGAGCAAAGCTCTTTAGAAACATATTCACGTAATATTTTCAGCAAGTATTCGAGAAAAAAATAATTGTCAACTTTGTGTGCAGATAGTAGGTAGATGATTGAACTGCATAATAAACACAGTGTACTTTTAATTATTGAACTCTTGATTTCTACTTCATATTACTTGCACAGTAGGTTCCATTGAAGCCTGTTCTATGCCCATAGTTACTATTTCATACTTAACTTCTCAAGGCCCTGTGGCAAAAGTTAGTGGTTATACTCAGCTTTATCATGTTTTGGATTCAAGTGTGATAAATTCTCAACACAATCGTTTTTGATTCACGTCAATATCTTATTTTCAAGAGGAGATACACAATTGTTCATATAAATACACAAGTATTTATTCTTCAAATTTGCTGAACCTGCATGAACTTTCGATTAAGATCTCAGAGAAATCTGAATCACCAAATACATAGGACTCAAGCAGTCTTGACTCTTGAGGAATTTCTTCAGATTGTCCTTGAAGGGTGAATCGTAGCTCTTGAATTGTCTCTGACAAGGCCAGACGAAGGCAAATGAGCCTCTGGACTTCATCCCAAAGATTCTCTATCGGTTCTGAATTATTGTTGTTAACAATTCAAAAAATCCATACTCTCGGTAAATTTGTAATTTTGTTAAAAGTGCTATAATTTGTTACTAGTTAAGTATTAATTTATTACGATATTCGCAAATTCATTACCCTTCATTAAACAGAAAAACCCAACAGCTCTGCTAGCTTTATGTCAACCTGACAGAACCATAGCTAAACATTTGCTATTTAGACAACTTCAAATATACCATAATTCATTACTATTTCATTACTAACTCATAACTATCATCACGAATTTTATGCTCATCATTCGGTGGAAAAAACGCCGATTTGTCTATCTCGATCTCAAGCTAGCACTCGAGCTAGCAGAACCAGAATTCAAATCACGTGTTTTTAAAAATTTTATTAAGTCCTCAATGAGTCAGTAATTCATTATTAATCTACCACCACATTCGCAAATTCATAAACCTTCATTTAACAGAAGAAAAGAAATGGTCTGCTAGCTTTGTGTAAGCTAAACATTATTTTTTTTGAAAATACTTCAAATATACCATAATTCATTACCATTTCATGAGTTACTCATAAATATAATCACGAATTGATTACTCATCATTCGATGCAAAGAACACCGATTCGTCTTGCTCGATTTCAGAGAGGATGATAGGAAATACCAACGGCTCTGCTAGCTTTATGTTAACCTAGCAGATCCATAGCATTGAATTTAGTTTTCTTGAACTTGAAATATACGATAATTCATATATTTTATTACCAATTTATTACCACAATAACGATATCTACTTTCCATTTGGAGAAGGAAATCGTCGATTCGTCTATTAATTCTATCTCAACCAAGCAGAAGCAAAACTCGAATGACATGTTTTTGGATATTCCGACAAACTCTGTATATCCTCATCCTCATCCTGGCTTCATTTCAAATTAAAAATCATCAGCGTTTCTTTCCATCGAATAAGTTGAGAATTCGTGATTCTATTCGCAAGTTAGTAATAAAATAGTAATAAATTATGCTATGAGTATTTGAAGTTTAAAAAAATACATTTTTCGGCAGCCGTCCGGGAAGTATCACATCGTTATTGTCACTGTAGCTATGAAAATCTTGGTAGATATATGGTTTTGATAAATGCAGATAATAACTACCATAGCAGTGAAATATCGACTGACAGCTACATGACATGAAATTAGAAATTAGTTGACATTTTGATTTTTGAAAGTTTTGGTTAATTATCGCAATAAACTATCGAAAGCAGCTGCGATAGTGAGTTTGAAAATGTCCATACCAAATTTTCAATATAACAGTTAGTAGGTAGTTTTTTTGGACTTGCAGGCTCCCAGGGCTCGCCTACGGCTCGGCCTAGAATTTTGTCTACTCATCCAAAAAAACAGTATTTCACGGACTTATCACGTAAATTACTATTTTAGCTGACATAAAGCTAGCAGTGCCTTTTTTTGTTAAATGAAGGGTTATAAATTTGCGAATGTGGTGATGAATGAGTATTAAATTAGTAACTTATTGAGGAATCTATAGAATTTCAAAGAGCATGTGATTTGAATATAAGAACTGCTAAGTTGAGCTCGAGATAGACAAATCGGCTTGTTTTTCCATCTGATGATGAGTGGAACATGCTAGGTTGACACTAATCTAGCATTGCCGTTGGTTTTCCTGTTAAATGAAGGGTAATAAACTCGAGAATATGGTAATGAAATAGTACCAAATGAGTAACCATTTATAGCACTACTACAAATCTCAAATATTGAACTGGTTCTGCTAGGTTTATTGGGCTATTGAGTATACATATCAATCATCTCACTAGTAGCAACAAAATTATCACGCACAAGCACTTCATGTGCTTCAGTGATTTTTTTAAATGTTTATTGAAATCAAAGTTCTATTCTCATGTTATGTGATTGTATGCATAATTTTACTCTATTTGCTATTACACTCCAGTTTTGTCAAATTGTTTATGTAAATTTTATGTGATTTTTTTTTAATTTATATGTCAACAATAAACATTATTATTATTGTTTTCTGTCCACAGGGCGGCAGTAGTAGCCGTAGCGAAGGTTCAAGCGCTCTCTCGCGCTCCATGCGGTACGCGGATCCCTGGCTGTACGGCAGCGTGCAGAGCGGGGGCGTCGCGACGCCAGGCGCCTTCCTGCTAACGCCGGCGTTCGCGTTGTGCGCCTGCGCCCCGGATTGTTCCGGTGGCGGCGGAACGAAGCGGGCCGCCAAGAAGACGCAGCAGACGACGTGCAAAAAGTGCAAAGGCACTAGGCTACCAGTATCGGCGGTGAGTACGTTTGAATCGGTTATTATCAAAACAATGACTAACTAATTTAAGGCCGATTCATGCAGCAGTCAGACACACGTGAAAAAGTCTTTCAAAGTCCTCTTTCCGAAGAGAGACGAATGGGCAAGCGGATCAGTCCGATTCCCAGAGACCGAACACGTAATGTACACAGATGGTTCGAAAACCCCTCGTGGAGTGGGAGCCGGTGTGTTCAGCAGAAAACCGAAGACGGAAATTTCCGTCAATCTCTGCAAATATGCTACAATCTTTCAGGCGGAGGTATTCGCAATCGCATTGTGTGCTAGAGAGTTGTCGAATAAACCTCTAGTAAACAAAAATATCAGTATTGTATCAGACAGTCAGGCTGCTCTTAAAGCACTGAGCTCCAGCAAGATAAATTCCAAGCTTGTATGGAGCTGCATTGAATCCCTAGAAAGCCTGGGTGCTAACAACAGAGTCACTTTGCTGTGGGTGCCTGGACACCAGGGGGTGGAGGGTAACGAGAAAGCCGACATCCTCGCCAAACAGGAAACCGAATCTGTGTTCATAGGACCAGAACCATATTTCGGGGTCACCGCAAGTGCGGCGAAAACAACTATCTCGGGCTGGGTTGAGGGAAAAACACTCACGTACTGGTCTGAATTGCCAGGATTAACTCATTCGAAGGCGTTCCTGCCTAAACCATCGGAAAAAATAACCAGGCAGATCCTAGAATGGAGCAGGGGTAACCTGCGAATTCTGACTGGACTGCTTACGGGACACTGTCGTCTAAGATACCACCTGGGAAGGATGGGTCTGAACCAACAAACGGACTGTCGGTTCTGTTGTGTGGAAGACGAAACGGCTGAACACATATTATGTTCATGCTCTAGCTTAGAAAGACTAAGGTTCGACACATTTGGCTTTACCAACCTAGAACCTATCGATTTCAGACAAATCTCACTCAATTCAACCATGAAAGATGTGGATTGTACGGTGAACTGTAACCTCTAGGGGTGAGCCACAATAGACCCATCTGGGGTCGCAGTGGAGGGGAGGTGTTCGCCCCACTCACATGGAACCTAACCATGCAGCAGTCATTATAATATATAATTAATTAATTGAATTTTCATTACATTATAAATTAAGAATGTTGAAAACTTGACCAACTTCTAACTTTTCATTATAATTACATTATAGTTCTAGTGAAAACGACTGATTTGCAAGATTAGATCATTGAATGATCCTTTTTTCCACAAAACTATTTGTGATTCACCTGAGATATTATATTCAAAATAAATCCATATTCTCAAATAACCTGTAAACATTTGTAAAATCCAAGCAGATCACATAACCTCGAATAATTAGTTCATTATGAGCATAAGTTGCATGAACGGGTACCTCGCGGCAAGTGAAAATGTAATTATAATGTAGTGAAAAAGTAATTTTTTGGGATCTTCTCTCCTCGTTTGAATAAAATAAAAATATGAATATTATTTCAATATACGTGTAGTTAGGATAAATCAGATGATTTGCCCCAAAATGTCACTGTGTTTAAAGAATTTTCCTATCAGAGAGCCTAAAAGTTTAGAGAAGAGAAATAAAGGTATAAAGAAAAAAATATCAAATTTTCACTTTTCTTTGGACGTTTCGAGACCGACAATTGGTGACGTTGACAATCAAATGAGTGTGTGTTCATTAATTGTCTTGAATTTACCATTATCATGTTCAGATATTAGTAGTGAATACCATATCAACTGAACAAGAAGCAATGCTATCGTCTCCGTTCAGAAGAATGCAAGCAGATTCCTTGATTTTTCTCTTCTGGTCGTTATCTTCTTATCCAATGATTTTAATATTATTCCACTCTGCCATATGTTGTTTGTCTTCAGTAAGACAAGTGTCCTAGAAATCTATTTTTCTACTATAAAACGTTATACAGGTACGCTCAAGAAAGTTATTACTTTTCAAAAGACTCAAAACACATGTAGGAGGCGCCACTCCCACGAAAGAGACAAACTAACATAAAATTTGATATTGTCATTGAAAAGTACCCCTAGATACCAAACTTCATTCAAATATGACAATTATTTTGAAATTTATTGCCAAAAACCAAGAATGAGAATTCAACATTGAAACTCTGTATCTCAGAAACGAACAACTTTCGGGCATATATTCATACAAACTTTTCTTCTTATTTTGACGTCAGCAACATGCTCCTGAATTTTCTACACGTACCTACTTAAGAATCACCCTGTATAACTAAAACAGAGATGTATAGAAATTTAACTGGTGGGCTCACTCTTCAATTGTTTCGTCAGACTAACTCTCGATATGGAACAATTGCAAGCGAGTTTTGGACGTGGGGTTCAGGTATTTGCGATAGAGGCGCCATAATCGGAAAATCGTTCAAAACCTTGGTTCTGTGAGGGATGAATCTATTTCCATCATTGTTGTATGATGGATTAGGTATTATACACAAAATTTAGAAACTACAGAACACGTCCCTAACGAACACTAGACCCCAATCTCAGAAATAACCATTTTTTCAGCTCAAGAATATTTTTGACATATTGACGTTTCGATCCTTTGATCAGGAATCAGTTCACTGCTCTGTATCTAAATATTTATCGGTCGGTACTATGTTTCCTGTGAATATGGATTGTAACCAGGATGAGCTTAGCGAGATTTACCCACGTCAAGTGTGTTTATCAAAGGTTTATCAGAGTCCCTAATAACACAATAACATCTGTAAGACGTCGTAGAAACATCCATATGGGATGATAGAAACATCTCTAGAAAATCCCTATTTTCCTTGGGACATTCTTGGGATGATGCTGGCAAACCCTTGTCAGCATTTGCGATGTCTTATAAACATCCCATCAGAATGTTTGTGGGATGATACGGGATGTACCAGAGACATTCAGGGTACTTGATATGGAACATCTTGAAGAAACTTCTAGGATGTTATTTGTTTGATGACAGTAATGGATGACACGGTATGAATTATTTTCAATCTGAAATCCTGGAAATGGACGACCTATTTCCAGATATAAAGTATATAACAATCCGAATCCGAAAATATAAGGTCGATGCGGTCCAATAACTAATGGAAGATGATAACAGTTGTTTGAGGCTCATATTTGTTGGCGCTGGGCCGACGGCTGTTAGTAACTCTTAGCAACGTAGTTGCACCGCCATCTATCGGCTGGTATAACAAATAAATTCAGCAATAAATATGCTGGAGAGATATATTTCAATTTTGTCGTTTATTACATGGTTCAACAGGTACTTTGGTAATCCTATTGAGGAATATTTAGTATAATTATTTCAATTCGTTATCGATGAAATTAGCCGGCTTTGGTATAGGTATAAGTATATGAGTACGAATACAGTTTTGATTTCCATTTTTTACCAACTCTTTAATGTTTCAAATGTCACAATTGTTTGAACTATTCAATCATGCCAATCATCATTAGCGAATATGGAACCATGATATTGTTTATAAAAAAAAGATCAAAATGGGATGTTTCTAGAACATCCAATAAAAACATCTGATGGATGTCCCAAGAGAAACATCTCTGGGATATCGTACCTAAGTCTGAAACATTGCCTTAGCGGGATGTACCAGCGAGATCCGGTGTTGTTAGGGGTAGGCGCCATCGAGAAACTTGCAAACGACCTTCAATAGGGAGCAAGCGCACCAGTTAAATTTCTATACATCTCTACTAAAACTATAACGAACTGTCATCTGAGAATTATAATTTGTTGACAAATGATTCCCTGCTTTGTTTGACAGTTGGACTCGAAATTCGGCACGGTGAGATGCTACCCCACCACCGTCCTTGCGACCAATCCGGCGCCTGCGCGCGCCGGCACCGTCCGCGTCACCTCCTGCCACGCCAGACCGACCATCCTGCCACCTCCAGCCGCCTCCAACGCCGCCTGCGACCCTTACGACCTGGTGCGCCGCTCCCGGTTGACGGGGGCGGTAGAAAACCCTTCGAGCGGGTTCAGGGTACGATCGGTGTCGCCGAGAGAGGCCAGGAATCACGGAATATGTGGTAAATGGTCCCTTGATAGTAGTAGGACTATGCCGTTTCTAGCTCAAAGCCGCGATCAACACTCCCTAGGTGGCGCTGTAGATGTAGATGTGGCGATAATTTTAACTTCTTGATGTTTGTATTTATAATATGTATTATTCGTATGGTGACGTCATTTTTGCAATTTAATTTATATTCCGAATTAAATGAAAAAAGCTGTGAGCTGTGCACAGGGAATCGAAGCCCGGCCGACGGACTATTCCTCCAGCTGACGTTTGTACTCTGCCACAGACATCTGAAACTGCCACAAAACATGAACCTATTCCATTTTTGCGTCTCGATGTGCATGCGCATACGCAGTAGGAAAAATGCTTGCATTTTCGACATGCCATTCCATCGACTACATCATCTAGAGCAGATATGGAAGAACACCTTTTTCTACAGCAAAATTCTTTTAACAATTTGGGACAATCATATTCCAACGAGGCTCCCATCATTGCTGAAGGTTTAGTTGAAATAATGCGTCAACTACTGATGTTCAGAGATTCATTCATACCTATTCGGCGATTGCTTTTCATCAGTCTGCCAATTGAAGAAAAATATGAAGTATGAAATAGCAGTGCTCGTTGACTTCCTGAAATCTCCCACTGAAACTCTAACGACATTCACCGAACAAGAATTGCTATACATTCCAATAGAATATCTCATTGAATTCGCAGATCCTTGTGGATCATTAGCGGTGTGGCATAAACTCCCTTGAGAATATTGCTCCAACTTTAACCTACAAATCAAGCTGCCATGCTTTTTTTTTGCATCCTTCCATTCTATACATTATATCTCAAGCATAATCTGCAAACGACATACATCATACAACGTCGCTTGGAGATAACACACCTTCAAATGGCCCACGTCCGTATTACGGAGTACCACCCAAATACTTGAACGTCTGGCAACGATGCGGTGCGCCGCGCACCAAGTATCCGATACTTTTTTGAACGTCTGGCAACGATGTACCGGAGTGAAGGCGACCGCGCTGGCCGGCCGGCATGTCTTATCTCCAAGTTGAACATAGACATGTATTTGTGGATGTGGCGCAATGGTAGCGCATCGGGCTCACAGTCCGTCGGCCGGGGTTCGATTCCCTGTGCACAGCTCACAGCTTTTTTTATTTAATTCGGAATATAAATTGAATTGCATAAATGACGTCACCATACGAATAATACGTATTATAAATACAAACATCAAGAAGTTAAAATTATCGCCACATATACAGCGCCACCTAGGGAGTGTTGATCGCGGCTTTGAGCTAGAAACGGCATAGTCCTACTACTCTTGATGAAACGTGTCTTTACAGGGTACGTACAGATCTTCGTCTCCTTTCACTCTGAAGTATTTGTGAAACAATTATACAGGGTGTTTCGGACTTGAATGTACATACGATACTTGCAGATAGAGGACACTTCAATGGTTTCAAATCACCCCCCATTGATATGTCTACAGTCTTTGATGACTGAGATACAAGACGTTATCTTGATTTTGGCAAAATATTCATCTGGTCATAATGCTTTAACCCCTGTGTATAATATATTCATACTTGGTAGAGATATTCCACTCATATTACACATCAGAAAAAAATAAAAATCGAGATCAGAATCCAGGTCCATCTTGAGGGAAAAAACTCTCTTTCATTTCAAAACCAACGCTCTGTATGACGAAATTTTGTGAATCTGTTTCGATATTCGGAAGAGCGGGAAAAAATGAATACAGTGACCTACCTTTTAGGATGTCAATTTGAAATAGTACTTTTGGAGGTTGCATAGAAGAGCATAGAAGAGCAACGATGTTGAATGTCGCCCCCATTTACAATTTGTTCATTGTATCAATGGTTTGGATGAAATAAAGACCCATTATCATTATTATCATTATTATAAAAGTTCTCATTTCTACATCAGGTGACCACCAAGACCCCTACATCACTCCCATTGGCCGTCGCTCCATCCTGGAGTGCGACATCAACCCCTACGAGCTAGTCTCCCCTGACTCTTCCACTGGCCCACAGCCCAGCATCACCCTCGTCAATGGCCAAAGGATCCGCGTCAGACCTTCCAGCAATGATGAAGACTTCGAGGACGACCAGAGGTACGAGGACGTCCAGTTGAGGCTGTCTTCGCCTGCCAAATCCATGGCCAAAACACAGAAAACAAGTTTGAAGGCGGTAGCTAAGAGGCCCAGCTCGATGCCTGCAGTTACGAAGGAGAGGCATAGAGATGATAAGCAACAAACGGTAATGATTCTGACCAAACTTTTGAGCGTGATTTTTTTTTATTGTTCTGGTTCCCACGAAAAGGGATATCCTGTAATGTTCAGGCGAACATCGTAAGTATCAAGGGAAATAAGGTAGGAATTGGTGTTCTCCTAAAATTTCTGGAGGTTATATGCCTCGGGGAACACCTTCCTTGGCAATGTGTTCCAGAGCCTCGCTGTTCGTTGGATGACTATGGAAAGAAATGTTCTGCAGGTCTCCAAATTGACCATGAAGGGGTGCGAAGCCCGAGGCGAAGCCTCAACTCGACGGGTTAATCCGGTTAATCTCGCGGGAACTGCTAAGGGAGGAATAATTGTTCATAGTTCAGGAGAGCATCGTCCATGAAAATATCTATAAATTAGGGTCAGATCGCCAACTTTTCTACGGTGTTCCAGAGAAGCGAGCGAGTTTGTGAGCGAGGCATCACCCACGAGACGAATTGCACTCCAAATATGGAAACAGTATTCCAGGGCAGGTCGGATCTGTGCCTTATAGATCGTAGGCAGCTGACTGGAAGTGAAATAGCTTCTGGCTCGAAACAGAGAACCAAGTTTTTAGGATGCACTTTTAGCAATTGATCTCACGTGATTTTCCCAAAGAAGGTTATTGCTGATACTAATGCGAAGCATCGAAATGGATATCTTCAAAGGTATGGTAACTCCTGACAGGCTTTTGTTGGGCACAGTGAGATCGGCTTTTCTAGAGAAAAGGCATGCTTGTGTTTTGTTTGCATTGAAATCTACCAAGTGATTGGATCCCCGTTCGAGAATTGTTGCCAAGTCCATATTTATGTTGTCAAGATTTCTCCCTCGTTCGTTTTTGATTTGCCTGGCTGGTATTGGAGCCCTGGAAGAGAAGGCGGTATGGAGGGTACTATCATCCGCGAAGCTGAGTACTGGACATGAAGTTGCTTCCAACAAATCGTTGATATGGAGTAGAAATAGTGTTGGTGCTAGAATTGATCCTTGCGGAACACCAGCATTTATGATAAGAGAGTCAGATGAATCTTCGTCGACCACTACATGAGAAAACTAGCTAGCAGGAAACATACCTGGGGAGGCAAGCCATAAGATGGGAGCTTGGCGAGTAGTCCGTGGTGCCAGAGTCGATCGAATACCTTGAAGATATCAAGTGCCACGGCTAAAGTTTCACCATATTTTTCGATAGATTGCTGTATATGTGAGACGTAAGCGAGCAGGTCACCAGTTGGTCTCTGATGACGGAAGCCATATTTCCCACCGTTGATAATACCCGAATGTTCCAGGTATTTCATGAGCTCGATGTTGATAGCTTTCTCCTCGATCTCTGAAATAATAGATAGCAGTGTCAATCTGTAGTTGCTTGGTAGGGTCTTTTTGCCTTTTTGAGGAACTGGTTGTACTCTTGCAATTCTCCAGTTGGACGGAAATATCCCCAATTTTTGAGAGTAGTTGAACAACTTGCAGAGACCAGGTGTCAGTACGGGAGCACATTTCTTGAGAACAATCGGTGGGATTCCGTCGGAGCCACAAGCTTTGTTGGTGTTGAGACCACATAAAATCTTCCTTTAAGTACGTTGGCGAAATGTGATCTCGGGCATATGACTGTCAATAGGCGTTATGTTTGGAGATTGTTTTCCCTATGAATTCAGAGTGGAAATTCCAGCAAATTAATGCGCAAAAATGTTAGCTTCCTCCTGGGCAGTTGTGGCTAGTGTTCCATCTTCCTTGGTTAGAGGAGCAAACATGTGATACATGTACTTCTCTAATATATATCAATGTTAACAACTCGGATATGTTCCTGGAATAGTACTTCAATCTGATAGTTCATTACCACCAGTCTCTAAAGTCGACGACACATTAGCAAAAACATCGCTAGAGGAAGCGAAAATGTTTGTAGATATGTTCGCAGCACCTTAGATTTTTTAGGAAAGAGTACCGCCAGATATTCCACCCGTTGAGAGTCGAATGCCTTGAATTGTCCGTCATCAACGCACTATCAGACGCATTCTGCTTGGTCTCAAAGCGAATAAGTCCAATGGCCCCCTGATAGAATTCCACCCATTATTCTCAAAAAGTTTGCATCAGAATTGACACCGATTCCCCAGGCAACCAGATGACGAATGATCACGTCACTGTAACGTCCCTAATTGGTGATTTTCCGTCAGAGACGTCACACACCAATTGATGACGTACTTTGTATGACGTGATAATCACGTCATCATCTCGACGTCGAGTGAACGTCACCTAAATGGATAAATTGAAACGTCAGTTTCTGCTGTGTAATAAATTGTGGGAATTCTGGATAGAATAGATTTCATTCATTTAATTCGCCAAAGGAAATATCATCCCCATTCTCTAATGGAAATGAGTATGAAACGGCCTGGGAGTCTATTCTCAAATCGTTCGAATTTCATTCGTATACGAATAAAGAAATATGCACTGAAGAATGTGCCGTATGTTGAAGTGAAATAGAAGATCGAATTCGTATACGAATAACGTTCGAGAATAGACCCCCTGGATGGGAAATTGATTTGAAGACAAGCAAAATTTGTGGAGTACATACATTAAAATGCACGTTTTATAACAGCAGATCAGAATGAACCTATATTTTCAAACAGAAGATTTTAAGACCCCATCGAGAGAATCTGCTGTTCCATTCATTGATAAAACGAACTATTTGGAAAGATAGTACACTATTATTATCACACGAAATGCAAAACAAAACTATTATGGAGAAAGAGGAATTGATTGCAGAAGTATGTAATGAAATAGGAAATTTGAGAACGAAACTGAGAAAATCAAGTTGATTGCAACGTGATATATAATTGAATGGCGTTTTCAATAGCGACCGAACTAGCTATGTGTCTATTTTGTCATCAAAAGGTTAGGTTAGGTGCATTCATTTCATTTTTATAACTGCTGTTTCACGAAGAGTGCCGTACATTGAAGTAGGTGTTGATACCCTATTTCCATTTTTCATTTACGGCCATGATTGATTTGACATAAAATTTAACCTGTGAAATCGTATTTGACAATCAGGTGCTACTAGGGAAATTGAAAAGACAAAGAGCAGAATATATGTCTTATTCCTTCATTCACTCAAACAGAAATTCAGCTGTGTCCGAACTCTTATTCTCTTATCTACTAATACCATCCAGTGACTCTAGTCTAGACATTTCTCATTGCCTTGAAGTTACCTACCTCAGAAGTGATACTACTGGGGACTGAATATCTTCAATCCCAGCTGCACTGAACAAAAATCTACAAAAGATACTAAGCGCCTGATGATTTATCGCTCATTCTTTTATGAAAAAAGTTGATTATATTTCTGTTTTCCAGAATAATGGCCCTACGTCTAAATCGAGAACCAAAACTAATTCGCTTCAAGAGAGCGGCAACGACTACTACAACTGCCAGTTCAAATCCATCTTGAAGAAATCCTCCATTTACGATGACGTAGAATCAGATGAAGTTGTCCAAACAAGGAGTCCTTCGCCTGTCAAACGAAAAGGATCTCAATTTTATATTCCTATGCCCTCATCGCCCGGTGTTGGGGTCAAGAAGAAAGTTCAATTTCTCGTCGAAAGTGACGCAGCAGGCAATGATAACATTCCCGGTGAAAAAACTGCCGATGAAATTGAATGTAGCAGTGAAGACGATGAGGTTTTCGAAAAAGAGGTTGAATGTAAGGAGGTACAAAATACACCCGAAAGTAAGTGAATTCAAATTTGTTACTATGCACTCTAAGTCAGTTGTGTTAGACTAGGAAGAATAATTTTTTTTAAATGTTTTATCTACTTGAGGACAAAAATTATCACCTCTCGTGAGAGGTAACATGAATTGGCTCTATACTTCCTTGGTAGAGATATACGTTTTGGAAGCAAACGTTCATTTATTTCCTCCCATGTGTGTTTAACGCCCTTCGCTACGCCTCGTGCATCAAAGTTGACAAACGGGACGAAATTGATACATTTTCTCCCTAGCTATTATTTTCACTATCCAATATTGAACAGCTTCTTTTCCTATTTTTTCAGGAGAATGTATTTTTTGGTAGTATCTAACTGAATAGAAGGTTCTCTTATTTCATGATTCATCTTCAGTGTTTCTCGATAAATGTTTCGATAGCTCATATTATGAGCTTTTCTTATCATACAATGTTGAGGTTTCTAAAATACACACTCACTAGAAATGAGGAGCATCGATCCAAATAATTTCTGAAGCCTGATATGACTCAAATACTGTTTGAACCGACTTGGATTGTTTCATATAAGACTAAGCAATCTGCGGAAAAAATACGTATGTATCCGCATCAAAAGTAGGTCCTTCTGACTAATATAATGGTTAAACTTGGATAATATGACACAAATACGTTTCACTATGTTAGTAATGTAGGCTCATAGTGCAATAATGCTGTTTTATACGTAACAGAGGAGTGTTTGTATTCTAATGAATTTCAACCATATTGACTCATGAATTAATATCACCCGAATAATTTCAGATGAGACCATTAGAAGACCACCTGCTTTATACAGAAGCTTTAGCGACAGAATACGAAGAGAAGAATCCAAAGTCAATTTCAACGATACCATGGCCCTCCGTTGTCTCAAACAGAGAAGGAACCTGCCAATAGACTTCTCCGATCTCGACAGACTCGACGGCACAGTCCGTAAAGCCATCAGGAAAGTCAGTCCAAGACCTAACGTCCCCCCACCACCACCTCCACCTCCAAAACAAGAAAAATATGAATCTAATTCGACCCCATCAAGTGAAAAAGTTGAGGCACCACAAGTTAATCAGGAAGAAACACTTTCCAATGGGTTGGAAAAACCTGATGAAGTCACTTCGATGGAAAAGCTCGACAGATGCATCAGTGGAGACATAACAGTTCCAGTTCCTATCCAAACAGATCCTCCTTCAGTTCCTCCAAGAAAAAGAAGCAACAACAAGCAGCCCACCGTGAACACAGTAACAGTTCACCCCGTTAAAATCGAAACCCCAATGAACAAAACTATCGTCAGGATAAGCAGCCCGCCAGCAGTACACAAACTCCAAATAAAAAACGATTACTCCGAGACTGTATCAGTTCCCTCCTTGTCAATCATAGAGAACTCTCAAAGAAAAACGTCGATCTTAATCAACGGAGACGACTGTTACTCCACAGTGAACGTAGGCGACTCAGTGCCTCTCTATCAGTCCTCTGTGGTTGTCAAAGACACGCCAGCTTCCAAGCAAAAGAAGTGCAGCAGCATCTACATAACAGGAGCGTTCACCCAGCACGAAAACCTTCCTAGTTCCTCAGAAAAAGATCCTGCTGAGCTGGACACAGCGACAAGCGATGTTAAAGACATCACATCAGAGACGGTAACTTCTTCAGAGCTGTTGACTGAACTGTTGAGGGACCCTGTAGAGGCCGTTCGTCGCAACTTGGTACCTCACGTCTGCGGCAAGTCAGATGTGTCTAGGAGACCGCGCGACAAGAAAACGGTGCACCATAGCAAATTCCCTCCAGGCTGCAAGAAAGACGTTGGGGTGTCAGAGGATAGAAGTAAGATGTCGAGCTCGTTCGAAGAGTCGCTGTTCAAGGTAATTGAATCAAATCAGGTATTGGAAATGGTATGTGGATGTATACAAATATCACTTTCTAATTGAACATTTTCCATCAAGCTTGGAAACGTCTATTGTTGTTCCATTGTTCAAGGGGACGGATCCATCAGACCCATCGAATTATATCTGTAGATACAGATTCTGGTGAAGAAACAGATTTTTGATTTCCTAGCTAAACATAAAAAATCATCAGTTTGATTTTCAGAGTTCGAAAAGCACAAACGATACTTTGTTTTCTTTTATTGAATAATAAGACGGCAGTTGTCTGCGATTTTTCTGAGTCATTCGGCTGTGTAGATCATGTTCTGTTTCTTTGAAAACTCGACGTTTTTTGGGTTCATAGGCGTTGCCTTGGACTGGTTTCAGTCTCATTTACGGGATCGAGTGCAGACTTTCTGAAGTGGGAAGAATCTCTCATGGAGTTCCTCAGGGATCCGTATTGGGACCTGTCCTTTTTCTTCTCTACATGAATGATCTACCTTCCATCAATATTCAAGGTCACTTAAAGCTGTAGTGGAAATGATGAAGGAATACTGAAAAAATATATTGGGACCAATATTGAAGGAATTAAACGATGGTGTGGTTCAAACAGTTTGTATTTCAATATGAGCAAAACCAATATTTCAACGTTCAAATTTAGATTTCCAAACCTGATGCTATAGGTAATATAACAATTTCTGATAATGAATACGATTAATTAATGGTATCATAATGAATGATAAGTTGAAATTTTAATGCTGTTCGAGTAGTGGCACGCGCGCTGGATAGGATTCCAGCTCGGATGGTATATTTTGCTTTGATGGAGTAGAATATCAGATATATAGCATTGCAACTTGGGGATTTTGTGATTCACAAATGATGAATTATGTCTTCGTTCTACAAAAAAAACTGTGAGAAATATTTGTGGAATAAGATAAAATCAGACTCACTGAAAACAGTTATTCATTAGTCAACGAATGTTGACAATTACATGTCTGCATCAATCACACAATAAACAAATCCAATATGACAAAAGTGTCAATGTCAAATTGATTTTTGAATGGGGACCCGCAATAACTTGGTAGATTTCAATGCAAACAAAACACAAGCATGCTTTTTCTCTAGAAAAGTCGATCTCACTGTACCCAACATAAGCTTGTCAGGAGTAACCATACCTTTGAAGACATCCATTTCGATGCTCGGTTATACTATCAGCAAAAACCTTTCTTGGGAAAATCACGTGAGATCAATTACTAGAAGTGCATCCCAAAAACATGGTTTCCTGTTTCGAGCCAGGAGCTATTTCACTTCCAGTCAGATGCTTGTGATCTATAAGGCACAGATCCGACCTTTCCTCGAATACTGTTCCAATATTTGGAGTGCAGCACCCAAATATACCCTGAAAATGTAGGATTCTGTTCAGAAGAGGGCACTTTGGAAACCTGCAGAACATCTCAAACCAAAGACGCGTTCATCCAACGAACAGAGATGCTCTGGAACACATTGCCAAGGAAGGTGTTCCCCGAGGCATATTACCTCCAGAAATTTCAGAATAGCAATTCCTACCTGGTTTTCCTTGGTTCCCACGATGTTCTCTGAACATTACAGGATATCCCTTCTCGTGGGAATCAGAACATTAAAAAAAATATTCGAATACTTTCTGTAACTTTACATCATGTTGATTGATTGATCGATTGATTAATAGCAGAATGATCAGTCAGGGTTCGAAGCCCGAAACACTGCAGCCTTTGGGCCTATTGTATTCCTGATCATGCTGTTGACTTAGGTGAACAGGTTCGCTACCTTGATGAGGTTTAGCAGCCTCTTCACCAAATCATTCTTTGAAAATGCCTCTTGTGAGTTTACTGCTCTCAGAAGGTTGTATCTCCAACGCGCTAGTGCTTTGCACTCCAATATGACATGGGTGGCAGTTTCCTCCTCCTCATTGCATAGTCGGCATATGGGTTCGTCTGTATAGATGCCCATTTGATGCATATGTTTCCTCAAGGGGCAGTGACCGGTTATTAGTCCCGTCACTTGTTTGATCTGACTTCTGTTTAGGCTCATAAATTCGTTAGTCACTGTTTCGAACAGTGTTCCAACCATCAGTTTACTGTGTCTTTGTCCTGGGACATTGTTCCAGTATACCTGATGACTTTCTTGCATCCACTTTGCCAGCCAGCCGCGTATTGAGGTTTTGGGGATACCGAACACAGGTTCCGGTCCCATAAACAACGCCGCAGACCCTTGCCTGGCAAGAGCGTCAGCTGCTTCATTGCCTTCAATTCCCTTATGCCCTGGCACTCATTGAAGAGTTACCTTGTTGTGGTTAGCCAGGGTGCTAGGCTTTGAAGGCAATCCCACATGATGTTACACATTGATTTGGATCGAGACTCGAGAGATAGACCGCTTGAAGTACAATTCTAAGAACGACGCTCTCAAATATATGCGTTCGTGGATAAAATCATATATACAAGGTGTTTTTGAAATAAGTGCACATATTCAGCACATCAATATGATACAGTCTAAGGAATATTCCCATGATATCAGATTTCTTCTTATTTTTCTAATTAACGAGAAATGTCATCCCAAAAATTGAACAAAATACGAGAAAAAAATTGAGTACGCTATTATAAAACAATTTGAATGATTGAACTCCGCGTGATTGTACATACCGCATGGAAATTTAGACAGAGGTGACGTCAGATTTGCTACAGTGTAGAACTTTGGGTGAAAAGAGGGCGTTTAATCCCTAAACTTTTTTTTTAGAGCTATCTAGTACAAGTCGACTTTCTCAGTGTTTGAAATATTTGCACTCATTTCAATGCCACCCTGTATATCTTAGGAGCGAAGGTTCATCTCCTCCCACGCGGAAGGAAATGACTACCTTTTCTCCTTTGACACATAAATAGCTATTATTTTCTAATTCTATTCAATTCAGATATCTATAAAATGGTGTTTCTGAATTGTCTCAAACTAATATTCATTCGTGGACAATAAATCATAATTCGATTCGATTTGATTTGAAGATGTCGCCCTACGAGACCGTTTGCGACGACTTGTCATCAGAGCACAGTTCCTCCACTCAGTACGAGTTCATGGACGCCGGCTCGGATTGTTATACGGACAACAGTAACAGGAGCTCGATAACGGAAGAGGAATTGGCCAATAGGACGAAGTTTTACGAGCTGCTGGCGGAGTCGAGTGCCGTGGAGGTGACGGAGAACGAAGACCATCTGTACGAGTGCATCAAGATCAGCAACGATCCGATTTATGAGGAGATCGAGATTCCGCCACCGTTGCCCAGCAATCCGCCGCCTGCTAGTCTGGTCGATGATCTCAATTTGGATAAGGAGTTCACCACAAGGCTAGTGATAATCAGATGTTTTCTTCTGTTCACTATTTCAGATCCATGGTCTATCTATATAATGGACAATATATTTTCGTGGAAATGTTTGTGGACAACTTCCTCTTGCTTGTTAAAGATTTGCAAATTTTTCCGTGCATGTACTCGTAAACAAATTTTGATGAAAGAATATGTTGGATAATGAAAGTACAGATAACGATTCCACATTCCACATCCTCTTTTTTTGAAGCTTATTTCTTGATTGTGATCACATTAGAATTTTATATAATTCTCTTCAAATTATCTGCCAAATTTTTCATTTTTTTCAATAATTTGTTGATTATGCCTTATTCTGGAATTCATTACATCCATAAGCAAGAAAACTAACAAATTTCACTGTATCAAAATAAAACCTTCAGATCTCGCATTTTTCATCGATAATTTCGAACAATTATTCAAGACATTGAGAAACAACTAGGAAAAACATACTGAATATATAGTGAGGACGTAAAAAGTCCTCTCCCCTTTAACTTTTGAACGGAAGAAGCCAATAAGATCGGATGAAATTCAAAAATTTCACTGCTTTTTGACATGAAAATGGTTGGGGTTACGTGGCTTAGTGTGACAAGTGGGCACCATTGACTTTTTTCTCAAATATAAAGAGGGGTACGTGGTAGCTTGTTTTGAAGGCCTTTCGATTCTCTATCAAACACCGCTCCGTTTGTGCAAAACGTGTTTTCTTATCTGGGGCTACACTTAAAGTTACAGCAAATAGTCTTTACGTTAGATACTTCAATTTAAGGAAAATGATGTCAAGCTACTGAAGTTATTTATAAAATACTGGTCTATGATCCAAGAAAGTGAAAACAAGAAAGTTTTAATGCGCACCACTACTGCCCCTTTGTAACAACCAAGTAATAGCCCACAGCCTACTGCTCCATGGGTTCTCTGATAGATAGCAGCTGGGTTGGACCAATGAAACCACTATTACCAAGTTTTACCAGTGGAACTTCATTATATTCATGAAAAGAAGAATTTCAAGCAAGGTCGCCTGTCTCAGGAAGTACAATATATTAGGATTTAATAATTAACATAGACGTAGGGTATAACATGGAGCTATAGTCATGTTGTAGCCATCTAGTGACAAAGCTCGCTGAGGTAGAATACAGAGATCGCGACACACACTGTATGGCGCTGTCATCTATAGTCACACGTGCAGACCTCTACGTCTATATGCTACAAAGTGGTACTACAAGTAAACCACCCTGTTGACAGATGACACTACCTGACATACTTTAGTTGAGAGCGGCTGATGAGACCTGGTGGGTCGAAACAGTACTGTCTCGCTCCTGATGACAATTGGGGCAACTCTGTTCATCCTAGATTTCTCAGTTATGGGATCAAGCAGTTGAATAGGTGGTGGAAAAATTCCACTCAAGTATGTCAGCAAAGTGGTTTACTTGTAGTACCACTCTGTAGCGTATGGACGTAGGAATCTGTACGGTTGACTATAGATGGCAGCGCCATACAGTGTGTGTGTCGCGATCTCTGTATCCTACCTTAGAGCTTTGCCACTAGATGGCTACAACATGACTATTACTTCATGTTATACCCTGCGTCTTCGGAATGGGTGATATACCCGAAGCGTAGAGTTGTCCCAGTTGTTAGCAGACCGACAGCGGCTGATGAGACATGGTGGGTCGAAACGATACTGTCGCTCCTGCTGACAATTGAAGCAACTGTGTTCATCCTGGATCTCTTAGTTATGAGATCTAGCAATCAACATAGACTTACAGATTACCTGTATTATTATAAATTATGGCATGTACTGATACCACACTCAAAGGAGATCTCGCTTGGGGAAAATGATCAATTCATCACTAATTCTCAACCTATTGGTAATAAGTAGATTCAATAAAATTACTAACTCGGCTGAGAGCCCTATAATTTAATTACCAGTCTTGGAAGGTGTCAGCATTCACCTTCAGCGCAGAACATATAGACTGGTGACTGTATGTGTAAGTAAATGGGTGGTAAAGTGAATTAGCGAGCCGACTATCAAACACGAACACAGATATACAGAAAGGTCTGAGTAGAATATACAGTTGAAATGGTCATTGCATAAGGTTCAACGTTTGATACAAGTTTCCACTTAGCCGAACTCCTTGAGCTATGGTTGAGCTCTGGGGGCGACAGTCGTAGTCAACCCAGCTGGACATACAGTAGAGGTAGTGGTAGGTAGAGTATGACCTCTGGTACTCGTAACTGGACCTTGACACCACCAGTAGGTTGGGCAAAGACAACTCCTAACAGTTATCACTCCAGACTCAGGAGGAAGTTGTAGGAGACAGAATGGCTGCAGATATACCACTACCAGCGAACAGCTAACAGCTTACAGCAAACAGCCGTGATTGAACGGTGACTGTTGGTGTAGTGGTCACCTTGAGACGACGATGGCAAGATGGTCGTTCTGCCGGTTGAAATCCGAAACAAGTCGATAGTTGAAGAACTCACACACAAGCGATAATGACGGTATACTCAACACTACATAAAAATCTTCAACTTAAATTACAGATAATTATAAATAATCCTCCAAAGTAGGGTAACTTCCTATTTTGAGAGAGATAAATAATCGCTATTATTATTGTTCATATGCTCATTACTTTACTCACATGACATATTCCATGTCTTTTTCCTATCTAGCACTGACGCGGTATTTCCTATTAGGGCTGGCACCTCGTCCATACACAAATGGGTCACTCTGTGGTTGTATTTATATTGAAACTACATTCGAACATCTTTGAAAATTGAATAAACCTGATCTGTGAAATTAGTGGAAAAAGGTACCTACTTAATGAATTTTTCTAGACCCCGTTAGCTTTCGCGTTCAAAAGTTGAAGAGGGGAGGTACTTTTTACGTCCTCATTGAATATATTGGTTTTCAAAAAAGTTATGAAAGGTTTCATTCTTTTGAAATATTTGGGATAATGTATCATTCTGTAATAACTCAGTGATGTTAGGTAATCAGTGATCTCAGTCATCGGCAATGCAAAAAATAGTATCACTCAATTCAGCAAGTGATGATACCTATATTCTGGAATGAAAAATAATGAAAATCGGCTGTGGTAACTGAAAGCCGATATTTTCAATAGATAATTCTCGATTTTACTTTTCGAGTCTGGAGCGGTTCAGTATATAATGTCAACTCCACTATTCATATAAAAATATAGTAACCATAATGAACCGCAACGGTAAGGTTATTTATAATACTTTGACTGCATCTCAAATATCAAGGAATTCGTTACTTTGAACAAAAAATAAATCACCAAGAACATGGCATTATGAACAGAAATACTGTTGGTTTGTTTGAGTAAGTTGAAAGCAGGAGACAGATTGCTGTAAGTCATTCTACGTGATAAATAGATTGATGATAACACTCAGTCCAAATGATATTGTAATTTTTTCAAAGATCGTGTTTTATTTCTATAGCTCGAATTCAAAAGAGTAAGCCGAAACATATGAAAGATCAAGTCTCTGGAATGAATATTGCCCAAGAACGGAAAATATGAGCACCATTTGAATAATCACCAAAGAAAATCTCTTCCTATACCAACTTATACCCGTGAAATCCCATTCCAGGTCCATCTTCGAGGGAGCCTCCAAATACGACATCCTCAGCTACCTGGTGGACGCCAAAGAGCGAGGCATCGTCCAAGAAGACCACCCCTTCACCTACAACTTCTCCCACCACAACCACCAAAACCAAACGGAAGAAGACATCCGCACCATCAGCGATTCCAGCGAAGACAACTCCTTGATCATCTCCGGAGCTCTCATAGACGAAAAAGCCACTTTCCAGAAGACAGCTGAAATCGAAAGGAACGATTCCGGAGTGGGCTCGGAAACCAGCAAAAGCTCCTTCAGCAAGTACAGGAGCAAACCGGAGCTATGTTTCCCCTGCGAAGACTGCGAAGCAATCCTAGACAGCAAACTGGAAATAGAAGCTTCCTTGTGCAGAAAGTGCTCGAAGAAACGATCCGAACGCAAAGAAATCATAACAGAGATAGTGGAAACCGAGGAGAAATACAGCAGGGACCTGCAAATCATCCTGGAAGAGTTCTACCAGCCTATGCTGGTGGCAGGACTGTTAACACCTGATCAGCTCTCGGCTATCTTCCTCAACGTGGAAGAACTCCTGGAAAACAGTCAAGCCTTGGCAGAGAAGCTCAGGGATGCAGTGGAAATTGCCACGGAGCAAGGCGATGAAGATTTGCTTACTGTTAATACGGGGAAACTCTTTCTGGAAGCCATACCGATGCTGCACGCCTTCGAAACTTACTGTGTGCGACAAGGCAGTGCCAGCCTCCTATTGGCCAGCCTCGAAAAGGACAAAGAACTACTCAGGATCTTTCTGAGAGTGTCGCAAATGGAGAACGCCATGCTGCGGCGCATGAACCTCAACTCTTTTCTCATGGTAATATGATAACTTTAATATTAAATTAAATCTATTTGTCAAATGTACAGGGTGGGCCAAATCAGACAATTTCGAAGAGAATGTCCAAGTCTCCAACTATATCGAAGAAAAGTGATGTCGGATCCTGAGGGTCATTTCTCATGACTTACTCATGACGAACCCAATGATGGAAACCACATGTACAGTGTGTCCCGCTTTCCATGTATACACCCCGACATCTTAGTTATTAATGATGCTATTCTCTTGAAATTAAAGTGGTGTTTGAATGTTAGAACAATGAAGTATTTAGCAGAGTGAACAGTTTCATTCACCTGCTAAATCTCATAACATTGCCACTAGATGGCTACAACATGATTATATCTTCAAATGATGTGTGTGACTATGTGAAATTGTCTGTTTCTATTGATGCTGCTACAATCATGTGCTTGTGAAATAATGAATCCTCAAGATATCTCGATACAATTTCGTGATTTTCCAGGTCAGTTGATTCCAGTGGCCGCTAGGGGGCACTTTGAGATAACCATCTTGTAAAAAAATCCCAAGAAAAGACGACTCTAAGCAAGTGATAGCTTCATAAGCACATGATTGTAGTTGTATCATCAGTATGAACAGACGATTTCACAAAATCCAACACATTATTGGAAAAACATTTATTTTATTGTCGAAATTTCTGCTGCTCTAAAAGCCAGGTGGATATATATCTCCACCAGAAATAAATTCGATCGTATTAACAGTGCAGTATGGTTTGATTATCATCTGAACTTTCCTGAACCCCTAGAAATGCGATAAAAAAAATCTAAACGCGTCGATATTTCACATCCTGTATAAGGAAGATCAAACATTTCGAAACCATTTCGAAATATTGACTAGAAGATTTGAGAAATATGATTTGCAAAAAGTATTTAAAGTACTGGGGAATACGGGAGCTCCTAAACTGTTCTATCTAACACTATTTTTAACTATACCCTAACAACACCAGTACATCCTAGGGACTTTCCATGGACGTCCCTGATTTTTTACTAGGACATCCCAGGGATGTCCTTTGTCGGGACAACGTACATACTAGGGATGTCCCAGAAACATCCGAGACTTTATTCTTTATTTTCATTACAATCATTTTCCGGAAGAGAGACAAACATTTTCAAACAAATTCAACCCAATAGTTTGATGAAATTCAATGACTCTTATGTGAATGGATATCAGATACTCCACGAATAGGATAACCTAGGGATGTACCGGGCGGGATGTCCACTGGACAGCCACTGCATGTCCTTGTACCGCGGGGCAAAAAAGGGACATACCTAGGACATCCCTGTGTTGTTAGGGTACTGGGTATGTCACAACTGGAAAACTTTGAAAAGTTCTGAACAGTGAATCTCAAATAGAAAAGACTCATGTTCTGAACACTGTATCCTGATTGGAAATGGAAATGTCGTTAGAGACCTAAATTAATTTCTGAGCCACTTCTCACACTTTATTTGTGTAAATAACTAGTGTATGCGTTGTTCGAAATTGTTGAACTTCGGAGCTCATTTCAAACCTACTGTCATGGCCACCATTTGGCGATACGTCGAATAAATGGTGACGTCAGCTCTTATGCTGTCTCGTTATTGGTCAGATAATCTTTCATTCCCACTCTCGAAGCAAGGTTATCAGGTCACTTATTATAATTGAGTTATTAAGAAGATATAAGAGTCCGTTGAATAAAACATAATAGGAAGGACCCATGATATTATAGTTCATTCTTGACTCATTCGAGCAACCAGTATGTCCAAATATTTCTTATACTCCATAACAAAAAATCATGTAAATGTTGGAGACTTGGCAACATTGTGCTAAATACTGAGAAGGGATAAGACCACGCCCATAAGTTGTGGGCACCGTGTTGTGAAGTAATATAAATACTATTTACACAAATGTATTGTGAGCAATATGCCACAAACCAAAAGGAAAGATTTCGAGACAATTGATTTTGTATTGCTAAATAGGAATATTACCAATACATAATTGAGAGTTCTTGAATGTTTGAATTACTAATATTTCTGAAGTTCCCAATCGTATTTCAACACATGGCAACTGTGCTATGGTCTGCCCCTACTTACGAAATCGTGACGTCGTCTTTTACTCGCGGTAAATTTTTATCCATTTGAAAATGACCGTGGTATAGTTGATAATTCTAAAAAAAATATGGAATTGAAAGATATTCCAGTGTTGATTCTATTTGCGAAATAAAAAAAATCAGTCCATTCGCCTATTGGTTGATTTTCAGAGGTTCAGAGGAAGTATTGTTTTCTCATCTCTTAGAGTGCACCAAAGGAAATTCCTTTTATGAAAAACATCGAGAATTTCAGTATCCCACTAGTGTTTTGAGCACTTCATCAGAATATTATACTTATGACATTTGTTTAATCCCGATTGTTGAATAGGTTCCCGTCCAAAGGGTCACCAAGTACCCCCTGTTGCTAGCCAGACTCTACAAGGTCACTCCAGCACACTTGCACAACAAAAATGAGTTGAAGGAGGCCCAGCACAAGATAGAGTTGCACCTCAATCACATGAACTCCGAGACCAAGGACGTGCCGAGCAAGCTATGGAGGAGGATAGGTAATTAATACATATATAGTAATAATGTGACGTTATTCGGGTGCAGAAGCAAACACGACACTATTCATTTTCGAACTGATTTATTTTTACTAAAGGGACACTAGCTTATTTACCATTCCCGAACACGTGATTTTGACATGGTTTCTTGAGGGGCACACAAACTATCTGTTAGGTTAATTTTGATGAGCATAGCCCTGGCCATACCTGCCATATTCACGATATAATAATAGTTTCACCAAACAAAATTATGAAACTCTTTCTGGTTCCAACTCGGATTCCAAGGAAAACGATCCCCCTAATTCTGGTTTCATATGACAAATCTTGACAAAATACAATGTTTGCCCCTCAGCAACCTGTCAAATGACGTAATTCTGGAATGATCAATATCGAACTTATAACTTCTGTTTATGTAAAATGATTTATATCACACGGTATATGACTGTCTCTCTGACACTCGCTGCTTGACTGACTGACGGCAGTTGTCCGGCAGTCCTTATAAATATATGAGATCCCTTGGTAGGCTTTGTTTCTCGAACGTTCTCGAATGATCTTCCGTACCCTTCTTTTCGTTCGTTATTTCACCGCGACATATACTGAGTGTTCGGAAATATGCTGGTACATATGTAGGAATCATTGGGATGTTGAAGAACAATCTGGGATGCATGTTACAGGATGATCGTTGTACTTCTGCCTTCCTGATGATGTTTCTAGAGCCTTCTAAGGGCAATATCATTATAATAATAATGATAATAATAATAATAATAATAATAATAATAATAATAATAATAATAATACAAAGAACTGACTTTCGCTTTTCTCAAGTCAGGCGGGCTTAAATCGGAAACAGAGGGGTTTATCATGGCATGCCAGGATGGGGTTTTTAACACTCTCGTCTACCGTAGCCGTGTCATGGGTATGGAGGTCCCTGACACAAATTGCAGGGCCTGCCGCAGGGCGCCCGAGACAATTATGCACCTGCTGTCTTCTTGCACGGTGTATGCAGTCTCGGCCTATATCCATAGACACAATGCGGCATTGCGAGTGCTCTATTATCACCTGAGGTACTCGTACGGAATAGACGAGACCCCAGTGCTGCCCTATGCTCCGGGGGATATTGAGTCCGTTGTGGAGAATGAGAGGTGCCGAATTTATTGGAACTTCTCATTCCCCACCCTCAGGCAAATACAAGCTAACAAGCCTGATGTAGTCCTCCTCGACCATCAAACCAAAGCGATGTTCGTGATCGAGTTTTCGGCGCCAGCCGAACCGAACATCGTTTTGAAGGAGGAGGAGAAACGGACTAAATATCGAGATCTTCTCTTCGAACTCCGCCGGCTCTATCCAGACCATTCTGTGGAATTGGTCATCCTGATAATCGGCTCCCTAGGAGGCACACGACACACGCTGCTCTCGGAGATCCAGAAAATCCCAGCGTGCCGTGATAAGGCACACATCCTGGCTGGTGGAATGCAGAAGGCCGTCATACTAGGATCATTGCGTCTACTCAGGGCACACGGTACTTGGTCCCAGTGATTACTCACCTCACAGGCTGTGAGGAGTAGTCACTGGATTTTATCCAGCACGACTCTGCGTGACGTCGGAGGCCGCAGGGTCGTGACTGGAATTATATGAATTTAAAATAATAATAATAATACTGGCACTGCTGCCACTATCCGTTGAGCTCAGGAAAACCAGAAGATACAACTGCGGGCCACCCAGTTACCGGAGGCATAATTGCGTAGAAAAACTTCCAGCTATAGATGCGATGCAGATGAGTTATTGCAAATGAAGTCTTAAGAAAGGTATGAGAAGTACTACACTGGATTTATTGAATGGTGCAATAGTAAAAAAGTGAAAATACCAAATAAAGAAGAAGTATTTTTGGCTCATTTCCTAGAAATGTCTGAAACCTTGAGGTCAATCACCATGGGAATGCTGGCTTCCGCAATAGGCTTACCTACCTACATTATGCTCCAAACGGTACACACAATAGATATATCACTAATTATTAGAAGATAGAGAATATACTATTGTTAGTTGTTCCTATTTGCAGGAATAACTGATTGAACATATCAATCAATTTCCTACGCTAGTAGAAAAAATATTGTTCCTAACTCATGCGGAAAGTGTCTTTCCTGCACTGGACTGCTTGCCCGATCTCCGCATCGCGTCGTTCGGGTAACGGCATTCGCGTGCAGGAAAGTATAACTTTCTGCACTTGTTAGGAAAAGCAGTGACAGTTAGTGTCAAGTACATTGAGGAACTCTAGAGTAAACCATCAATAAAAGTGACATATTCATTGACATGGCAATGAATCTTTCAACAGGTAGCAGTTCGGGCAGGAGGTCCAGCGCCGAAATGGATCTGGTGAACATCAAATTGAGGAAGATCGCTGTCGATGTTCTGGAATGGAACCACGAGGAGGCGCGGTTTGCGTTGGAGGGAAAGCTGCTGTTCACGCAGCCGACTGACAATAATTGGAGGAGGGGCAGGACCATCAAGTTGACGCCAGTCAACGCGCTGCTGGTCGTCAACGGAAAGGTGCGTTTTTTCCCTTTTTTGAATTGACTCGTTACCCGATGGAAATCCATGTAAAAATGTAAAAACTTCACAAACGCTAAGATTTCCACAAAATTCTCAAACACACGATATGTTTCGCTAACACAGTAGCTTCGTCAGGTGATATACTGATATACTGGTACGATGAACCTGCAGCATATAATAGTATGATACACAGGCTAGTGAATGTCCGTCTTTCGGAAGAAAATTTCAATAAAGAACAAAATATCATGAAACAGATTGCAGTCAACAACAGATACAACGTTAATTTGATAGACAGTATTCTTCCTAAAGAACTTCATATTCATAATAAAACTAGTCAAGAAATTCATCTCACCATCAAGAATAATAATCGCAATTATAGAATTTTTTCCTATTTTGGAACATCAACTGAAAAATTAGCTACATTTCTACATAAACAGGACTTGAAAGTAGCATATAGAACAAATAACACGCTAGGAAGGTTTATCAAGAAAAATAAAGACAAAACTTCTAAATTTGAAAAATCAGGTGTATACAAACTCAACTGTGGATCTTGTCCTAAGGTATGTATCGGCCAGACAGGTCGTACGTTTGATCAGCGCATTCATGAAAATAAGATGAATTTTTTCGAAAAATAAAACAAATTCAACATACGCCAACCATATACAGGGTCGCTGATATGTATGGAAACAGGTGAATATCTCGGTAACCTGTTGTTGGATTTTTTTGAATTTATGTACTGTGTGATTTCAAAACGTGGCAGATTTGAAAATGTTATAGCCAATGTTGCCATTTTTTCAGTTATACCGGATTTTTTATTAACTTCCTTATTTTGAATAGAACACCCTGTAATTTATTGGATTTTCAAATTCTCCCTGAAGAGCTAATTCCATCGATCTATCACACTTGGGGTCTAGCAGGAATGCATACATAGGTATAGGGTGTTTAAAATCTAGATTTTTCAACTTTAGTAATTTTTTGTGTCGAAACTATTCATTATCGATCAAAACCGCTCCAATGTTCCCATCTTTACTTCTGATTCACTATCTACTGACATTTAATTGAAACAAATACAGGGTGGTTCAAGATTCAGAATTCTGATCACCCTCTGTATCTGTTTCAATTAAATTATCAGTAGATGATAAATCAAGAGTGAAGATGGGAACATTGAAGCGGTTTTGATCGATAATGGATAGTTTCTACACAAAAAAATCTTGAAGTTGAAAAACCTAGATTTTAAACACCCTATACCTATACTGAAAAAGTGGCAACAGAGGCTATAACATTTTCAAATCCGCCACGTTTCGAAATCACACTGTACATAAATTCAAAAAAATCTAACAACAGATTGCCGAGATATTGCACCTGTTTCCATACATATCAGCGACCCTGTATATTAGAAGAAAACCATAGTTTTTATGACAATTCCGAAATTCTACACGTAGAAAATAAAGGGAATAAAACTCAATCATTTTGAATCATAAAAAATCAACAAACTAAAAAATTCCGACATTTCACTTAACGATCAATGAGACCACAATAGTTCACCACTGTTGTTTTCTTAATAAGTAATAATATGTATTTGATATCAATCCTTTCAAGTTAATCCGGGACAGTGAGTTTGGCTAAAACTCAATAATTTTATTCAAGGAATCTGGAGTTTTGCTGTGTACCATCAATTAGCGGACACCCTGTATAGGCCTAACTAGGCGACCCATAAGAACAAGATTCAAAGAACACTTAGCACATTTGAAATATGGTATATTGAATAAATCGAGTGTATAATTTGAACTCACAATAGCTCAAGATTGAATGAAGTGACAGTAATTTTGATTAGATGAATGTTTTCAATTATTGTGGTTTAGTAGGAGAATAGTAGATTGTTCTATTATGATCGAAAGTGACACTTTGTTTGACATGCGAATTTTACATATGCGAGGCGGAGCGTCTAGCGAAGAATATAGGAAAAGAAGTGGGAAATGTTAGGTTATCTCTCCATATTCCACTGTGTTCGGCTAGGTGATCAAATGAAGGTAAACAGAATCGTTGTGTGAGACAAAAAAGTATTGCTGGCCGTGATTATTCAAAAACAAGTCATCGAATCAATCAGATCCTGAGAATGAATGAAATACAGTAGATCAAGCAAGTATGTGAATCTTGAAGACTTTCCTGATCAAATAATAATACTTAACTGTAATGAGGTGTATTTATATCTCCAGCATGGGTATGATATGCCAAATCTGCTGTAATCGGGAACAAATCAGGTATGCGTCCCAACCCAAAAAACCAACCATCACAATGTTGTTTTTCTGCAACCGACATAAAAGTCGTCCATTTTGATACCAAAATCAGCTCTTAAAGTGACGTTTCTATTACTGACACAAAAAAAGGTATGTTTCTAGGCAACATATTAAGTTCCTAGGAGCTAAAGTAGAATTTTAGTTCCTAGGAGCTAAAGTTGAACTTTAGCTCCTAGGAACTAAAAAGGATGTACTGGACGTCATCAAGAATAAACAACATTGTGACGGTTGGTTATTTGGGTTGAGACGCATACCTGATTTGTTTCCGATTTCAACCGATTTGGCATTTCATACCCATGCTGGAGATATAAATACACCTTATCATAGTTTAGTATTGTAATTATAAACATCTCAGTTAAGTATTTTTGTTTTGATCAGGGAAGCCTTCAAGATTCAAATACTTGCTTGATCTGTATTTCTTTCGTTATTTTTTGGGATGGATAACTCGTTTTTGAATAATCACGGCGAGCAATAGTTTTTTTCTCTCAAACAACGATATTGTTAAGCTTCATTTGATTATAAAGTCAAACACAGTGTAGTATGGAGAGGAATAAAAATAATCACTATTATCATTGTTGATATGCTCACTAACCTAACATTTTCCACGTCTTGTTCCTATAGCTGGCACTGGCGCGGTATTTGCCATTAGAGCACCTGGTCCATGCACAAATATGTCACTCTGTGGTTGTATTTATATTGAAACTACAATTCGAACATCCTAGAAAACCTAACCTGCTGTTAATGCAGGTAGAATATTCTCACCACATGGATTATTTGTCAATATTTGTTGCATTGCATACATATGGCACGGCATTGGTGGTTGCTTCACATGTTTATTTGAGTTAATTGTTTCGGTTGCAGAAAAAATAGCATGTTTCATTCGGATCAAAAGTGACTTTGTTCGACTCGCAAATTTTGCTTTCGCTTGTCAAACAAAGTGTCACTTTTGATCCTAATAAAACAATCTACTATTATTTTTGATGACCTAGTACATTCTTTTCAGTTCCTAGGAGCTAAAGTCGAACTTTGAAACAAAAAGTATCGCCTAGCAACATACCGATGTTTGTGTCGAAATAGAAACGTCAATTCAAGAGCTAATTTTGGTATCAAAATGGACGACTTTAGTGTAGGTTGCAGAAAAAATATATCATTGATGAATTTTTCAGCCGATTTCAAGCAAAACGACCGACAGGCCGGACGAAAACGGCCTCGTATTTTCGAGACACGGAGCGAGAGAAGCGGCCCTCTTATTGGTCAGAGACAAGAACGGTCGATATTCCCTCCTGAGGGAACCTCTTTATCTGGATCGATGTGTGATAGCGGCAGATCCGGCGTGGCAAAGCTACTTCGAAGTACAGGAATTATTGGGAAGAGACACATTCATATTTAAGGTATAACTTTATTTCCACAGAATACCGTGTGTTTCTAAGAAGTGGTTCACAGCTATAACCTTTTTTGTTTCTATAAATAAACAAATAATATTCGGTGTATAAGTATAGTACATAAATATTTGACGTGTATTCAATCAGAGTTGCCGTTTTTAGTACTATTGTACTTTTCTAGTACATTTCATACACATAATTATTGGAATCCTAATGAAGCCCTCATCGAAAGAAGTCCATAATTTCAAATTCAACGGAAGAACAATGAGCTGTTATTTGATGAATTGATTTGACTTTGAAGTTTGTGTCATCTATTTTATCTTATTGATGGTACGATATTATTATTTGATTTCAATCTGTAATCTGATCTTTCCTCTTCATCTCTCATTTTCGGCTTTTATTTGCTATAATTGTTTCATAACCTACGTTTTTCAGGTGTTTTAATGTGCTGTATTCTATTATTTTAATTTTTTTTACATGAATATGAAGTTTTTTATCTAATGTGTGAATCGTGAATTTTGAAGTGTTATTTTCTCAATTCAGTACAATATACTTGAATTTAGTACAATTTCGGAATGACTTCTAGTACAAATTGAAATTCTGAAACGGCAACACTGTGTTCAATTGTTTTCTGTCACTTCCGGTTCGACCGGAAATAACCCCAAAACTGCCAAAAGTTTACTGTAGAAAAAACCGAGTACCAAATTTCGTGCAAATGACTTATTTTTTGCAAAAGTTATTTTTGAATAGCGAACAAAAAAAAATCAATTTCAACAGCCTGTATCTCCGAAATGAAGGTTTTTCGGACACAAGTTCATATATACTATATTTTTCCTAAAATTGTTTCAGGAATACGTCACTTGAATATTTCAACGTACTTATCTTACACACTGTATACAGGGCGTTTGAGTGAAATGAATAATAATTGAAAAAATATTTATAGCGATTAAAATAACCTGAATAATAATAATAATAATAAATAAATATTCGAAAAATATACAGGGTCAGTAAAAAATCTTGAGCCAAATGAAATACCTGAAGAAACATAATATATAGGGCGAGCTAAAAAACCAGAGGCAGAAGAAACATTTGAATGACATATTATGCTTCTAACCCTACAGAATGCCAATGCCCAGGTTCAACAGACATCAAGCAGTTGCCAGCTAACAGATAATGATTGATTTTTCGATAAAATGTTTGTATACAAGCCCAAATTTTCACACAATACCGGGTGTTTGTCAAAAGTGGCTCACCCCTTCAACTTATTTGTTTCTATAAATCAACAAATAGTATTCCGTGTATAAGTATAGTACATAATTAACATTTTTTGACGTTTATTCAATTGTTTCCTGTCACTTCCGGTTTGGCCAGAAATGACCCATATATGTTCTTAATTTGAATGGGACACCCGGTATATTTTTAATTATTTCGATAGAGAATAACATTGTGAGTACAATGACACCCCATTTTCCACTTTTTGAGATGTATTATCCTGAAATTTCAATTGGTTAATTTCCAATCTACAGTGTGTTACAATGTGATCCACTCCACCCCTGTACTTTCGTAATTCTAGAGCGATTTGGAAATATTCTTTCCCTATGATCTATTACCCAAAATTAATAATAATTGCATGATGAAATTTTATTTTCCAGGCTGAAGGTGAGGATCAAACGAACATCTGGTACAAACAATTGCAGTTTTTCGCTCAAGGAATGGGCGCATGGAGAAAACGAAGAAACGCTCTTGCCAACATAATGATTAACGGAATGGGTTTACGATCATAATGAAATTTTATTTAAATTCTCAGGAATAACAAAAACTAATGCTAATTGATTGCAAACCATTGTAAAAATATGTGACTAAATAATATTCATTGTTAGATCTATTTAATTAATATCTTGTAAATTGTAAATGATTTAGTTAATTTAGCTGTGATATTTTTGGAATGATGGTTTTGGGACTATTTTATTTTTAGCTTATATAGTTGATTTTATTTAATTAATTGTATCGAATATTCAATAAAATCCTTCATGGTACTATTGATTTTACTGCTGTTTCCACCACATATTTGGATCGCTTAGCAAACAAATGTTTCTTTGGTTTCCGAAAATCCCGAATTACATACGATCTAATTCTGACTGGTAGAAAACGAATACGTCATCATATTCCACCTACAATCGATCGTTTAATATTGAGAATCCTGGAAAACTAAATCCATCATTTGATTTTCATCATGAACATACACAAAATAAAGGTTGAAGCAAAGATTGTTGAAGTGAAATATCACTCAGAAGTAGAGTGGCCCAACTGAAAAGTCAGTATTATTCAAGTGTTGAAAAGGGATATTCTGAACTATGAACATACAAGAATGGATATATATTTATATACAGCAATACATTGAGAATTCGCATTCCCTATGTGATGAGAATATCAACTCTTTTTCAGTTTATTCAACAGAAAACAACTACTTTTCTGGTTATATGCCACGACGAACATTGAATTATATCCATTGAACACACACGATAAGATTTTGAAAATAAAATATAAAATCTTCTGAAATTGAGAATTTGCATCCTCCTTCAGAAAAAAATATGAATATGCACACATCATTCTGAATATTTAACAGAAAACAACTACTTTCTTGGCTATTTGCCACGTCGAACATTGAATTATATCTGATGAACATCCAAAAGGAGAACATGAAAAATAAAAAATAAAATCCTTCGAAATTGAGAATTGACATTCTTTCTCAAATCGGATGAATAATATGATGTATAATGATATAGAAATATAACTTACCAATATATTCAGCATTGAAATGAAAATTGGAATGTATTGGAGAAGTATTCTGGCATAAACTCTGATCTTGATGAGCTTGAAAACTTCCAAAAATAATCATTCATATCATTGATTTGGGAAATATTATCTCTCACACACAGGTTATTTGACTTTATGGCAATGAAACCATTTCGGATTTCTAAATCCTCATCAGTAACCATGATGTCCACTTATTCTTACACCCATATATTCTTCATGATATACACAATTTTCATCTCTCTATAATACAACTAAAACCGAGTAAAACTTTATAACAAAATGACATTTGAGAAAAGTTTTTGACATTCTATTCCTGTCATCTGGACGTTTTTGCTTGTGTAGTATACTTCTCCTATACATTCCAATTCTCAATTTTGAAGGATCTCATTTTTTATTTTTCATGTTCTGCTTTTGGATGTTCTACAGATATAATTCAATGTTCGACGTGGCAAATAGCCAGGAAAGTAGTTGTTTTCTGTTGAATATTTAGAATGATGTGTGCATATACATATTTTTGTCTGAAGGAGAATGCAAATTCTCAATTTCAGAAGATTTTATATATTATCAAACTCTTATCGTGTGTGTTCAATAAATATTATTCAATGTTCGTCGTGGCATATAGCCAGGAAAGTAGTTGTTTTCTATTGAATAAACTGAAAAAAGAGTTGATATTCTCATCACATAGAGAATGCGAATTCTCAATGTATTGCTCTATATAAATATATATCCATTTTTGTATGTTCATAATTTTTCTGAGAATATTCCATTTCAACACTTTCATACCCAATCAGGGGGTTCAAACTTGAACGATGGAAACTTGTGATCTTTATAGACCTCTAATCGCAGATTCGTGATAGTCTCAATTCAGAATTTCTTTCCACGCCCTGTATGATGAATGTCAATTTATCATACACCCAAAAGCAGTATTATTTAGTTAGGCCGTACGATGAGCATCGCTTTTGCCTATATCTTTCATTTCTCAGTGGCCCAAGCAACTTTTGGCTATCTCCCAACAGATGGCACAAGTTATACTTGGATCGCATGAAAGTTGTTGCACTGTAAAGAATCCTACAGAATGAAGGATCTTTTCGGGAGTGCAAAAAAATTACCGATAATTTTGCAAGGAAGCGTCGTGTTATCTAAAAATGGTACCAGCTTATTAAGACGCAGGGTATAACATAAAGTTATAGTCATGTTGTAGCCATCTAGTGGCAGAGCTCTATGGTAGGATCCAAAGATCGCGATACACACTGTATGGCCATCTGCCATCTATTCGCGGGAATCAATGTTACCAGGTGGCGCTCGGTTCTCATCGTTCCATGTCAAAGTCACGTCAAAACTGGGAAAAACAAACTCAATCCTCACTTAATCCCATTAGTGCCATCAGCTTGTGTACTGTGTACTGATAAGAGTGATAACACTTCATGTCATTGACAAGTTTGACAACTACAGCTACAGCAAGATGTATGCAATGTAGTCTATGCACTTTATCCATAGACAACAGTTTGTTTTCCCCCAGTTTGAAGTTCGTATTATGTAACGTAGATGTCGCCCACTTCGTGAATCTCGCGAATAGTCACACGTATAGACCCTTACGTCTATACGCTACAGAGTGATACTACAAGTAAACCACTCTGCTGACAGATTGCACTACCTGACATATACTTGAGTGGATTTTTCCACCGACCTATTCAGCTGCTATATCTCATAACTAAGAGATCCAGGATAAACAGAGTTGTCCCAATTGTCAGCAGGAGCGAGACAGTCGCTGACGAATGATTGCTCGTAGGCTATAAATACTCTTCGTCAATATCCTTCACGTAAGTCCATTGAACATCCTTGGGAAACTTTTTCAGGATCTATTGGGGACCTTCTACGGACCTTCAACTCAACTGAATGTCCTCATCAGTTATGCAAGATCTGGTCCTAGAGGGACCCAGAAAAATTCAAATTAGAGAATAATCCGTAGGTCTCTGGGACATCCTATGGACATCCAATTAATATCCCTCAGCGTTCCTGCTAGGTTGTCCTACGGATGTCCTAAGGATGTCCTCCGTAGTGCTTGATGAGGAATACTGTAGGATTTAGGTATTCAATAGTTGTCCCAGGGACATCACTCAAGGACGTCCCTAGTTGGTCCTCAAGTGGGACATTTGTGGGTCCCACAGACGTCCAATGGACGTCCACGGTACCAAATTCGAACGTCCTATGGACGTCCTGAATGTCCCGACAGGACGTCCTAAGGATATCCATGGGACATAATTGTGTTATAGGAATGGTAGACAGAGAGGAAGAAACCGTACATTGGAAGTGCAGCAGTTTTTTAAAAAGCATCAGTGATCTACCACCTCCTAATGACATTCTCATATGCGATTTTTTACCCCTTTTCTACCTACTATTGTATCATTCATGTATAACGATAGCACTTCTGGACCTTAATAGATCCGATGAAAGCACGCCAGTGACGTATAATGAATGTTCATGAAGGGGTTGTTTGGCATCCGACAAGAACAAATTTCCAAAAAATCTGGTTAATGAATCTTGCGGGATCTCCAAACTTGATTTTAGCACTTAGGGCGATTCATGAAGAGACTCGCATAGCCAAATGATGAATAGGGGAAAACAATCAGATGTTCATATATGAAAGATTCTGTTGTTCATCCATAGCGAAGATATTATGTGAAATTACTTTTCATGGGAAAATCACGTGAGATCAATTGCTAAAAGTGCATCCCAAAAACTTGGTTTTCTGTTTCGGGCCAGGAACTATTTCACTTCCAGTCAGCTGCTTATGATCTATAAGGCACAGATCCGACCTGTCCTGGAATACTGTTTCCATATTTGGAGTGCAGCACCCAAACATACCCTGAAACTGTTGGATTTTGTCCAAAACAGGGCAATTCGTCTCGTGGGTGATGCCTCGCTCACAAACTCACTCACTTCTCTGGAACACCGTTGAAAAGTTGGCGATCTGGCTCTATTTCATAGATATTTCCATGGACGATGATCTTCTGAGATATCAACAATTGTTCCTCCCTTGGCAGTCCCCGCGAGATTTCGTGGTGAGAGATGTTCTCTCTTCCCAGAGACTCGTTCATCCAACGAACAGCGAGGCTCTGGCGGAACACATTGCCAAGGGAGGTGTTCCCCGAGGCATATAACGATGTTCTCTGAACATTACAGAATATCCCTTTCGTGGGAACCAGAACATGAAAAAAAATTCCTACCTTATTTCCCTTGGTTCTCACGATGTTCTCTGAACTTTACAGGATATCCCTTTTCGTGGTAACCAGAACATGGAAAAAAAGATATTTCTATTCAAAGGTAACAAGAACCTGCCCAACAACTACAGGCCCATTGCCCTGTTATCAGTAATCTCCAAAGTGATGGAGAAAGCCATCAATATTGAGCTTATCAAATATCTGGAGAGCTCAGGAATCATCAATGATAGACAATACGGCTCTCGCCACCGAAGATCTACTGGAGATCTACTTGCCTACGTCACCCATTTATGGCAATCTTCAATAGAAAAACACGGGGAATCTCTAGCTGTCGCGTTGGACATATCGAAAGCATTCGACCGTGTTTGGCACGAAGGACTCCTCCACAAACTACCATCATACGGCTTACCACCTCAGCTATGCCATCTCTTATCGAGTTTTCTTTCAGGCAGATCGCTTCACGTGGTGGTGGACGGTGTATCGTCTGATACCTTTGGCATCAATTCCGGCGTTCCCCAAGGATCAATTTTGGCACCAACATTATTCCTGCTTCATATCAATGATCTGTTGGGAGTAACAAGTTGCCCCATCCACAGCTTTGCAGATGATAGTACCCTCCATACTGCGTTCTCTTCCAGAATTCCCATTTCTTCCCAGGAAACTAAGAACTCACGGCGCAGGCAGGTCAATGCTGTCAATGAAGACCTTGCTGAAATCACAGCCTGGGGAACCAACAACCTAGTTGAATTCAACGCCACCAAAACTCAAGCCTGTATTTTCTCTAGAAAGGCGGAACTCAGTATGCCCGACATTGTAATGTCTGGCATCACCATCCCCACCAAGTCAATCATATCTATGCTCGGTATTTCCATCAGCAACACTCTTTCATGGGATAATCATGTGAGATCCATCGCAAAAGCTGCTTCACAAAAACTCGGATTCTTGTCCCGTGCGAAAAGCTACTTTACACCTCAACAGCTTCTCATGATCTACAAAGCGCAGATA